GAATGAATCAACTAGGGTCTCGGTACAGAAATTACTGTCAGAGTACGGTACTTTAAACATGAGAATATGATATATGACGTGCCAACAGGGTTAGCATCAACATTGGCTAATGATATTGCAATAAAGTTCCAACATTTCACAAACTACGAATTCATATGCCAAAAATATATGGATTATTTTAGAAAGAATGAGCCTAGAGAGTGAATAGATTGTCACTAGACTTGGTGACTTATTATCATGTAAATCACAAATGCACCTTATAATTTGGTGTGTATGCATACATTTGCTATTGTTGCAGGGAAAAGGTAGGGTGGGTCAACTTTGTGATGAACTTTTAGCTTGAATTTCACTATGGCCTGATAGCTCACTGATGACTGAACCCACCTTCATACTGGTTATAGTTTTTGGACTTCAGTTACAACACTCAATACTTTACACAGATTCATCACTACACAAGTTCATGTTACATATTATACTAATTGATTTCTTTGCTGATGTTATAATAGACCTGTGCAGTATGCAATATACATAAACGTGTAACCATAACATAACCTAATAAAAGACAATACAATTAAAGTTGCTGTTTTGTAATGTTTTATTAAGATGGTTCATGAGGCTCAATATACACAAACCTAATAAATGTGTGCAAATTCAGAAAAAAGTCTGGTACAAAATAGCTGATTTACAATACCAATATGAATACAAGTGTAGCTGATTTACAATACCAATATGAATACAAGTGTAGCTAATTTACAATACCAATATGAATACAAGTGTAGCTGATTTACAATTCCAATATGAATACAAGTGTAGCTGATTTACAATACCAATATGAATACAGGTGTAGCTGATTTACAATACCAATATGAATACAAGTGTAGCTGATTTACAATACCAATATGAATACAGGTGTAGCTGATTTACAATACCAATATGAATACAAGTGTAGCTGATTTACAATACCAATATGAATGCAAGTGTAGCTAATTTACAATACCAATATGAATACAAGTGTAGCTGATTTACAATACCAATATGAATAT